TTTTTACAAGATTTAAACAGGCGACAGTCTCATAATATAATTTTCACAGTGACCAGAATATAAAATCAAAATTACTGAGCGTACAAAAAAAAAAAACATGAACATTTAAATTGTCCTTGGAAAAGACAGTCAACAGATGCCGGTGATGAAATTTCACAGATGTTAAAATTATCAAAGTCCTTAAAGCAGCTATGATAAAAGTGCTCAAATGAGCAATTGCAACCATTCTTGAAACAAAGTTTAAAATAGAAAATCTCAGCAAAGACATGAGAGATAAAAGTAGAAATCTGAGAATTTAGAAATACAAAACCAAACAAAGGAAGTCACTGGATGGACTCATTAGCAGAATTGAAACGACAGAGGGAAGAGTCAGTGAATTTGAAGATAAATAGAAATTATCCAATATAAACCATAGAGAGGAAGAAAAGGATATAAAAAAATGAACACAGCCTCTCTGACAAATGGGATGAAAAAAAAAGGGGGGGGGGATGTCTAACATTTGTGTCATCAGATCCCAGAGAGAGAGAAATACACACACACACACACATATACTTGTATGTACATATATATACTTATATATGTACATATAGGCTCGTATATATGCATGTATGTATATAAGTGTATGTGTTTAAGACCTAAACAGACCACAAACAGAGCAAAAGAAATCTACACCCAGACACACCACAATCAAACCACTGAACACTAAAGACAAAGGAAAATCTTGAAAATAGAGAAAAATGGCATTGTTTTTAGTGGGAAAATGGTTTGAGTGACTATAGATTTCTCATTGGAAACCATAGAGGTCATAGGAAGGAATACAGTATTTTTAAAAGTGCTGAAGGAAAAAAAAGTTAGTCTAGAATTCTAAATTTGGCAAAAAATATCTTTCAGGAATGAAGGGAAAATAAAGACATTCTCTGGTGAAGGAAAACTAAGAAAATTCACAGGAACAAACCTGTTTTAAAGGAATTGATCATATTCCTCAGACAGAAAGGTATGTCTGGACTCCGTCCCACAGCTGAACTGGTGGCCCTTCGGCATCAAGAAAGGACCACTCATGTATCTCAAGCTACTATTTTCAATTTGCAAGGTAAATGCAGAGATTTGGGATGTGCAAAGTGACCTTCAGAAGCCAATTTTGGAAACATTCCAGCAGCAGTGAAGAATGGCAGCTCATCTTCCTGGCTGGGGAGACTAGTGTCTCTAAAGCAACTGCTTATTGGAAAATGTCCCATGGTGTTCAGGCCCCATAGAGTACTCTTCAAAGCTGTGAAGACAAAATGGTAGTAGTGTGGTCCAGGCTCCCACCCTGAGGAAGGAATCACCAGAAGCCTCTAGACACTGGGCCAGAACCTGGGGATGGGCAGAGCAGATGGAATACTCTGCCGACAGAGGTGGTATTTTCAGGGGGCTTCATGGCATTAATGAGACAGCCATGGAGGGGAACATGGTGGACACTGGGTAGCCACCCAGGTGACAAACCTCAGTGATTATCATAATCATCAGGGGAGAACTGGGGTATTTCTTCAGTAAAGAATTTGGATGAAGAAGTAGTTTGGGGACCATTCTTATGACTCTGTGTCTCTCTGTAAACTGTCATAACGAGGAGAATATGAGCCACAGTTGTTAGAAGGATGATCTACAAATATTGTAAAAAGTTTGGAGAAGAGGAAGAACAATACTTGCGACCCCAAACCCTGGACACGACTATCTTCATTTTTCATATCGTCTCATGAATAGATAAATAATGTGAACAGAGGACTTTCCACTTTACATGGGTGTTCTGGAACAATCTGGTTCCAGGGTATGGAAACCATCCCCCAAATACAGCAAAACTAAAGAAAGAGGCAGATCTAGGACTGCACTGGTGCAATGTATTGGAGACCCACTGACAAAAGCATGATCATAGGCCACAGCAAGAAGAGTGGATCTCCATAGTTTGGGTCACAAGGAGGGGTATATATATCAGAGGGGAATATACAGGGTGGAGAGGAGTAAGTGAGGGAGATTGGGGAAGGGGTTGAGGAAAGGAAGTGGAAGAGAAGGAGGAAGGAAGGGAGGGGAAGAGGGCAGGGCTTTCTGGTGGGCATGGGTTCCTCAGATCCTTCTCAAGTGGGGCTTGAAGAGCTGTTGGCTTCTGTGAGAGCTGCTCAGCTCAACTGTAGGAGCTCCATGTGATCCCCCTGCAGAGGGCTGAGGAGGATCCAGGACATGCCAGTTCCTGGGTCCCTGTAACAGCATGTGGCATGGAGATGAGAGCAGGGACACTGCAGTTAGAAGGTGGCCAGAGGTGGTGCTGAAAGCATTGGGAAGCAAGTCTTTAGGCTCCCTCCCACCCCTGCCCAGGAGGCTCTATCAGGTCCCCTCAAAGCCCCAACAAAGTATCACTCATGCTGATTCAGCAGTTTCTGTGCAGGCACAGTTTCCAAACAAGCCTCCAGCTCTCCTCCAAGGCTCCACATCTCCTCATTGAGGTCTGGAACCACAAGCTGCTTAAATCCTGGCACTGCCACTTGTGGGCAGTGTATGGATCCATCAGTCATTTAGCTTCTTGAAGTTCTGGTTTCCTCTTGGAGAAGCGGGATCATGATCACCTTGGAAGATTGGGACAGTTTCCTGAGCTGATGCCCATGAGTTTCTTTGTACAGTGTCCAGTACCTAAGAGGAGGCCAGGGATTGTTCTCTCCTTCCCTTTTCCACATTAGGAAAATTTCCAAGGGACTTTGAAGAGGGCAGAGGTGATTACTGGGCATTCTTTCAGTGCTCTTGACAGCTGTCTTTGAGCTACCTACACTAGGTAAGCCCTAGAAAATGGATAGTAATGCAAACAGAAACATAAGGAAAAACTGTCCCTTGAAGACATAAATAATTTCTGTTCTGGGTAACATTCCAAATATGGCATTTTATTGACCTATAGTCATGAACCCGTTTTTTTTTTAAGGGCATTCCATATGCACCTTTTCTTTCTTTTTTAAAATATGGTTTTAGTTGTAGATTGTCACAATGTCTTTATTTTTATGTGGTGCTGAGGATTGAACCCAGGGCCTCACGCGTGCGAGGCAAGTGCTCTACCACTGAGCTACAACCCCAGCCCATCAGTTTTGAGTATATTAGCAAATCATTTCCCCATCCTGACTACCTGTGTGTGTCTGTCCTTGAGTTCTCCTTTTGAAATGGTTGTAACATCTTACTAGTTCCTTTATTAATGGAAGCTTTGACATGTGTTGATTTTAAATTTATATGAGCCATGACTTTACCTTTGAAAATGTAACACCTACTTCCTTGATGATTCACAAATCAGTAATTCAGATAAGACCTTCTTCATCCTTTCTCCACTGATTTTATATTAAATTCCAAGTTCCTCATCATGCCCTCCATAAAACACAAACAATACACATCCACACTCATGTGTGTACCCACACAGGGTCATGCTGTCATCCCCATACATACCCAGTATCCTCTACATGCCCACAAAATAGTGATCTTTGCTGGAGAGGGTTGCTAAAAACACAGGTCTGAATATTTTGGACTGAATGGGAATTGGATACCTAACATACGAGGTGATTGGAAACCAAATTGCAGGGATTAAATAAATGAAGTAGTAACCTTAGCAGGGAATGGTATAGAGTGCTATCTATTTGGAGTCTACACTGAATCCTAACTTCAGTTCAAATTTAAAAATCGTACTGCCTTGATCTTTTGGGGTCCCTCTTTGAGGACTTGCTTGCCATTCTCTTTCCACCCTTAAGGAAGGTGAACTAAGTATCCACAGTGATGGTGGTCTGGGTAGAGTCCCTCTGGGACCTGTTATATATTTGCCAATATTTTTTTCAATGTCTGTTCCTTTGTGCTGCCATGTTCTAAGTCAGACCTGGAGCCATAGCTGGTTGACGATCTGAGATTGTTGGAGCCTCGGCTGGGAGGCATGGAAGGTCTGTCTACACTGTGGGTGGTAGTTATTAGATCATCTCTGGTGTCCCTGTGTACTCACTTGTTCCCTTTACTGATCGCTATAGAGGACCAACAGACAGATTGACTTCTGCTCTGGATAACTACCAGAGTCCTCCCAATATGCTTACTAACTGAAAAACAGCAGAACTCTTGGGAAAGCAATCACAGGCTCTTCTCTACACCAGCAAAAATGCTGGGTCCTGTGGCATTGACCACTTGGGAGCTTCCCGGGAACTGGCTCAGGCTTTCTAAATCAGAATATACAGTTTAATGAGAGTCCTTTGGTGAATCTTCTGCACTTTCAGAGTTTGAGAAATGCAAAGAGTGACAGAGGTTCCAATAGCACAGGAATATTAAGCCCTCAAGTCTGTGACTCTAGTTGATAGGTGCACTGATCATGTTCACCTCTCAGAGCCAGCTTCCTCTTCCATAAAGGAAGGACAATAATCTCTGTGCCACAGGCCACGGAATGATCAGATACTTGCAAAGGCAGGGTAAGGCACTGCCTTAGAACTTATTTAAAGAGAGAATTCTAAAGAAAACTTATGGGGGGAGCAGTAGGATTGGCAAAAGAGATCAGGAGTCAGGGTTTTCAGGGCTGGGCTCTAGACCTGACCACAGAAGGCACTTATGCTAGCCACCTTGCCTCAGCAGGGGGTCAGCTCCATGCCCTAGTACTCATTTCCCAAGCTGTGTCTGGGACCATCTACTGCGGGGATTCCCTGGGCACTGCAGGTCAGACTTCCCTCCTTACATGGTCTGAGGACCCTCAATACATTCAAGGAATGAACAGTCAGAATGGAATCACTTTAATAGCATAGCAACATGTTAGGACCAAAAGTCACAAAGTTAGGAAACATCATATTCTTCAATTGCACAATTCTGCTGAGGTGTGTGGTTTCACAGGACAATCTTAATAGAAGGATTTTTCACATTGAGAACTTAATAAATAAGATACTTAAAATGTCAAACTTCAGAGACAATGAGTTATGAGCATGATTGTTTTCTTATTCTGCCTCCTCTGAGTCAGGTGGATGGAGGCTGGTCTTCTAAGAAGGATATTCATATTCCTCAGCACTGCGCCGGCCAAAATCCATCCAGCCCATGTAGTCCCGGTCACTTATCCTGTGGCTGGGGTCCAGGTTCTGCAGGTTCTTAATGATGGACATGCGGCCAGAGGGAGCTACAAGGGACAGAGAAGAAGAAGAGAAGAGCATTATATCTAAGAATACAACCAGTTCAATTTGTGAAGGCAAACAACAGAAAAGGCCAGATGAAATATATACATTTATATTCTTAAAGGTATTACAGACAAAGATGAAAGAGGAGAAAGACCTATATCTTCATAAATGGATAAAAGTGGTGTTCACTAGTTATGGGTGTGTTTTGTGTTCACAGTTTATTTAGATGGGTTCATTTTGTCCTGCCTTATACAAACTGAGGCATTGCCTCAATTTTTCTTTGTCTCCCCTACCCTTAACAGTATTTTCCTTGTGTATATGGCCCTCAGCAGAAAGCAAGAATTTCCCTAGTACTTACCCATTTCTAAATTTCATTGCTTAACATCCCTGACATACCCAACTTGTCCAGAGAGCTTTAAGATAGTGCAATCACAATATCTTGATATTGAAATGGCTTTAAAAGATGGAGTCAAGTCCCAATGCTAATTAAACAATGTTTTGAAATTATTAATTTGAAAGCTACTTTCTTTTCTTAAAAATAAAGATAACCCGAAAAAGATACACTATCAGATTAAACTCTTGGCATCTCAGTAATAGTCCAAGAAGGATGCAAGAATAAAAGAGGTAAATGAAGTCAGAGATTTTGACCTAAAATCAATAACTGAAATTGAATGGGTGCCATGTCCTTGGGAACAGGATTATTCTTGCCTAGAACCCACATTGAGTGGGCAGAAGTATGACAAGGTAGATGCTTTGGAGGCATGTGACACAGTGCCTCTCAGAGATCAGACAGTGATCTGTGCAAACGAAGGGTTAAACAAGGCGCTTCAGGGCCATGAATGGGCAAAGTCCAGGCCAATTCCTGAGTAGAGAAATAGAGGACCTCTCAGTGGTGGCCACTGTGTTGGGGGCCACCATGTCTCCACTTCTCAAGATATTGGTGAGGCTCTCCTTGCTAGTTCCTGCATATGGAGCCCAAATATGTGCTGTTTACTGACAAGTGACCCTTCATAGGCAGTTACCCTGTCCTAATGGGTAATGAAATTAACCAGCTATATTTAAAGCAGACACACCACACAGAATAACAACATGCCCATCCTTTCTGTCTCTGCTCCCATCCCTTCCCAGTTTGGGAGCTAAGTCAACACAGCACATTTGAGCCCTTTTTGTAGACATTCCTAGCCTATCCAGAAGGGAAAGGGTCCCTGCTGTTTAACTGTTTGAGGACATTTTATGGTGAAATATTTGTCCTTAAATTCAGCAAGACCTGCAGACTCAGTTCTCCATGGACAGTAACATGGAAATATGACCCGTCCTCCTGCCTGCTCTGATGATGAATGCTATAACCCAAATTTCCATCTAGTGGAAGCAAAGTGACAGCTTCAATATGAGCAAGCAACCAGGGTTGCTGGGATGAGCACTATGTATAGCTGTCATTCTATAGAGCTCTGTCCTCACCTGGGTGTACTTACCATAGTCTTCATTTACCAGTGCTACACAGAGTAGGGACTTATAACTGATTTATGGAGTCAAAGTGAAGGGTCTGACTTCTTTAAACTTTAACATCCAGAACCCATAGTACAGCTGGGAAGCCAAATGGCTTCCAGACACTCTGGGGAAGTCAGGGCTTGGAGAACCTTAGTCTTGTTGCAGCTTAGATGTGCAGACATCTGCACATCTTCTATTATTATATTCTATTATTATTATTCAAACTTCTAGAGCCATGGCTTCTTTATGGGCAAAATGGGCATGATAATACTTACTGTGCCGGGATGTTTTCAGGTCTGAGAGAGACAACAGCTGCAACACTGGGGCTTTGCTGGTTATGGATAAGTGTGTACTGAATGCCATTAGATGCACTATGCCACTAGATGCCTCCCCTATCACCCTCTACTAGAACTGCTTCTCCCCAAACCATTAAGAGTTCCTGATAATAAACTCTTACACACTTCTCAAAGAACACATTTTGTCATTTAGAACCTTTGATGTATTCTAGTGTTAAGTCAAATCGAATATGATCTCAAAATATATAAAATATTCAAGGACATTTATTCCTACATCGTATTTGTCAGTAGAAGAACATGATTGTTTTCTAGTTCTGCTGATCCTGGGTGTTGGCAGCTTATTTTCCAAGTGATTGCTCTTCCCACTAGGGTTCCTTTGGCCCAACAGCCTGAAGGCAAAGACAGGAGGGTGTTGAAAGAGGGGATTGGAAGAACTTCCCATCCAAGATTTATGCTGTAAGAGCCACTGGTAGGGTATTGGTTCTAGGAAATAATTTGGCAAGTAGCTCACCCCACCCCTAGAACTGGGTCTCTTGGGTCTTTCCAAAAGCTGGAGAGAGATCTACATTTCAATGAATAGCCTAGGATATCTCAGACTGTCTGGCTGAAATTCAGCCCACATCTGTGAGCAGATTCTAAATTACGTTCAGATAGGCAAACAGAAGGAATTCTCCAAACTGTCAGACTTTCTGTCATCTGACTAGTATTTCCATTCTTTCAGTTTAATTCTCAGGAAAGAACACAAAAGGTGTAGTTTGAGCAATTCTACAAATCACCTTCTGTCCTTTTCCCTCTGAAGGCCCTTGTCAAAAAGTTTCTAATTTCATCTTCATGTAAAACCACAGAAGACTCTAGAAAGCCAAGCCCTCCATTTTCTTCCTCTTTACTCAAAGCCGTAAGTTAAAGTTCAAATCCAATTGAGTAAAACCTCATAGAAAAGGAAGTCACTTCCCTCAGCCATCCTGGCACTGTTTGCTGGATGTTTTTAATTCAGTTATTGATCCACTTTAGCACTCTGCCCCTTAGTCAGTGTCCATCATCAGTGTCATTGTGGATAAAGCTGGGAGAAAAAAAATCATGATTCCTCCTTCTGAATCACACAAAGAGCCAACCGGGACTCCAGGGAGCTCTGGCCTCCTATTTTGCAGATGAGAAAGTCAGGCCCAGGAAAAGGGCACTAAGCCAGGGAGCTGCTAAATCACATTATTCCTGGAAAAAGGAATGCTGAGAAACTGACTTATGGAAACATCTCTCCAATAGTTGTGGTTTTTTTTTTTTAAATCACCTCATATGTAATTATTTCAGTTCACTCACTGTCAAGAAAAAACTCAAAAATGTTCCTGGTTCTTTCCTTCTGTTACATACTTTAGTGAAAACTGACCCATTCTCACTTGTTTTTGTCAGATCTCAAGCATTTTCAGCATCCTTCACTTCCTGCTACAGAGTTTCCAACTGTCTGCATCTGTGTGGCTCCTGGTTCAGCTCCATTAATAGAAGAGGTTGTTTAGTGTATTTGGAACCACTTTCCAGGATTTAGTAATTATCTTTAAAAAACATTTTCATAAAATGGTGTTGAGCTTAATCAGCAACACTGTACCAAAAATTAGCTTAAAGAAAGATTTTTAAGAACGTTTTCCTTACTAATAAATTAAGTTCTCTACACCTCATTTTGATTTGCTTATAGACGACTTCAAAACTGTACTCTCAGGTGCAGTGGAACTCTGGAAAGGAAGGTGGAAATCCTATTAGTCTGTGTTTTCTCCCAAAAGGGATAGGGATACCTTCATCTGGTGGACTTTAGAGGAGAGGGCCAGGATTGACAGTCCAGAACAGGGACAGAAGTGAGGGACGAGAAGGCAGCATCCTTACCTTTCCTAGCCTGCTGGATGTATCGGGCCAGCAGTGCGCCCAGGTGCGCTCTCGGCTCCCCGTCTGTTCTCTGCACAGCCCTCAGCTGCCTTCGGGCCGCCTCTTCTGCCCTCTGCACCCCGGAGCCTGCGGCACCAGCTGGGGGCACCGGCTGCGTCAGGGCCCCCGCAGCGAGTACCGCCATCAGCACGCACAGGCAAACGCCACGGTTCATGGCTGTGGAGAGCAAAGTCGAGGGGGCGTCAAAAAAAAAAAAAAAATGCTGGGCATCCACCAGCGCCTGCCGAGAGTCGGGCACCTGGAAGCGGGCTCAGTCCAGCGCCGGCGCACCAGATCCGCTAGGTTGGAGCAAGCGCTAGGGCTTACCAAGCGCAGACCCCAGCTGAGTGACACACAGCCGCGCGCGCGCGCGCCTAAGCGCGCTTGGCTTGTCTCTAGGGTAATCCGCACCCAAGAGCCAGGATCGGTGAGAGAACTGGTGTTTTGCCCTTTTTAGCAGAAAGAATGTCTCCTGTTCGCCTTAAGTTTGAGAAAGCTTTTGTAGAGCGTCTTTGTTCTAACTGGAAAAGCACTCTATTAAAGATAGTGTGAAAAATACGGGATGCCAGCAGAGAGAAATGAGACCCTTGAAGGAAGGCAAGACTTTTCCAGATAGAAAAGAAGCTTTTAATACGGAAATAAATGACGAATAATAATAATAATAAAAAAACACACACACACAGTTTAAACTGTGGATGCCATAAATTAAAAAAAAATTATAAAGTTTCCTCGAGGTGTATGTGGGAATTAGTAATAAATCATTACGCAAAACATAGGTAGGGTTTTAAAAATCAGAAATATGCGTTCAGTTCTCAGCCATTGCCAAAGCACCGACTGACTGCATTTTAGAACTGTGATTAGATAGAAAATCCACATATTTCTATTCTTAAAGCTCTGGATTTTCTGCAATATTTAGAAAATGGATTTAAATATTAAAACTTTTTGGTATTTTATTTGAAAAGATTGCAAAGTTCTCCGCACCTCTGTTTAACTGCTAGCAAATCTCAATTTGCCTGAGACTCCTAGCAAATGGCTATTTCAAAGTTTTGTGCAAAAAAGACCCACACAGGCTTGTGAAAGTCTCTAAGGCAGCTACCCACCCAGCCCTCATTTTTAAATCCAGCACCCTTATTTCTGAGTTTTAAGAATGTCTTTTCAGCTATGGGGGGGCACAGAAAACAGAAAAAATATAAAGGGGTACAAAACTGAAGACAGCATTCTTCAAAGACACAGGACACTTGTATCCGCGTGGGCGAGTGAAGGGACCTACATACCTCTGGATTAGAAAGCAGCTGGTTTAGCGTTTCCAGCGGAGCTGCGACAGCCGAGCCAAGTTCAGGGTAAACGGGCGGCTGGCTGCCTCTTAAATAGCCCCGCCCGGCGCTATAGGACAGTCATCTATTTACCCAACGCTGACGCAGACCCGCAGCAACACGTGCTCAGAGGACGGCCACTGGGTCGACAACCGATTGAAGTGGCTTCTAGAAAAAGAGGGGAGACGGCTCAAGAAAAGGGGGCTAGCCCCTCCCAGGCGGGGATCCCGGTGTGGGTTCTCCCGGGGGCCCAATGCACTTCCACCCTAGCCCTGTCCGCTGCCTCTCCTTGGCCCATTCCAGTGCAGTGCGCTTTCCAGGGTGGGAAACCCAGGAGTCTTTAGCTTCTGGGTTGGATAAACTGCCTGAGTTTAATTCACTTTGGGAACCAGTTGGGCCTCCAAGGAAACTTTGGGAACCCTAGGCCGGACTGACAGCTAGGCGAAATTCTGAAAGTGGGCGTGTGTGTGTGTGGGGGGGGGGGGGGGGCCCCCTCTTGGATCACCTGAGGCCCTGGTCTCCGGACTTGTAAGGGCTCTCTCCAGGGAGAAGGGGGAAGTCAGAATCTTCACTTGCTTCTCAGCACAATAAAAGCCCTTGATGATTCCAAGGGCAAGTGTTCCCAGTCCGGGAAAGGGATCCCGCCACTGCTGGCTGTTGGTGTCCTGGGCCTTTCTTCATGAAGCTGTAAAATGGAAATGACACCTCGGGGCTTGGCTCAGGGGGATCCATTTTAAGAAAGGGCTTCGATCTCTTCCTGGGCAGAGTTACCACAAACCCGCGGCGCCCGCTGCTCATTGTCGCCAAGTGGCGCCAGTGAGTGTCTTGGGGAGCTTGCAGCCCACCGCACCCCACAAGTTCCGGCTTCTCACGCCTTCTGCGAGTACTCGCGCACTCCCCTCTCCCACCGCCTCTCCAGAATTCTGACTGCTCGGCTTGGAGATAAGGACTCTGCCGCTGCCCCTTGTCATTCACCTGCCCAAGGAGGGAAGAAGGGCACCCGGGGCACGGCACCCGTGCGTCTTCCCTGCGCTGTTGCTCCTCTGACTCCGTAGCGAGGCTGCCCCAAGCCGCTCAGAGCGCGGTACATGAAGCCATCTAGGTTGGAGTCCGAGGGCTGGTGCATGAGTTCGCTAAGTTCCTTAAAAAGCACTGCTAACCCCATTTCACAGACAGCAAACCCGGGGCGCGGGGGGGGGGAGGTGGGGAGGAAGCGCATAGCCCTGCGGAGGGTCAGCACCATTCCCTCGCCGCCTGCGTGCACCAAATCTAGCCTAGGGATCCCCAGCCATCCCCTAACCCGGTCGCTCAACCCCTCCCTTCTCCTTTCCTTTTATCCATCTTGAATTCAAAGAAAAGATTTAGAAACGTTTCCTTAAAAATTGGAATCTGTACTCAGGCGTGGACTCCTCCGGATTGAGGGATTGTGGGAACGCTGGAGTGGGGGTCTGGTGGTCAACTTTGGTTGCTGCCTGCCTTTCTAATCCGAAGGGGAAGCTGCGTTTCTGCAACCTAGAGGCACCATTTTTGAAACAGAACAACTGATTAAATCCTGTCTAGTGGTTTTCCCAGGAGGCTGCTAACAATTATATGGTTCGGTTGAGGAAACTAGTTTCATTTGTGACAGTAGTCAAGACATGTCTGGAATTGTAATAGGGCCTGTTCAAATGCCAGCAGTTTCTGATTCTGCATGTCTGAGGTGGGGTCCAGGAATCTGCATGTCTAACAAGTTGCCTGAGAACTTGGCTATGGAACTTCCTTACCTTAGGCCAGTTACTTGACTCCCTTCCCTCCCTCTGTTTATTGAACATTATTTTGTGCCAGGCCCTAGGGAGCAGACAGTACAATGGGGGAGCTCAAGAAATAAGTAAACAAACAGCTCTGCACGGTTCTGATGTATCTGGAAACTCTGGGGTGGAGGTGGTGGGAGATAATCTTGAAGAAATGCTCTGATGAGCTCAGTGAAGAAACAAGTTTAGCATTTTCAATAGATGAGTCTGATGGTGATGTGGAAGGTGTCCCAAAGACAGAAGGGCAGCCAGAGCTGGTTAGGAGGGCCATGGGATGTCAGAGGAACAAGGAGAAAAAAAGGTAGGTTTATATTTAGGACAATGCACCATTATGAAACCTGTTAATTCTTATGAAACTTGACAAACATCATGCAAGTTGTAAAATTAGTAAAAGTAGAGATAAGTAAACCTTCCAACTACCCAGGGAGTGACCTCTTGCTGTTTTAAGAAACTAGTAGAAGCATGGGGGGATTTGATGACTGAGGCTGATCTTGAAGTTCTAGGTTGGGAGACAAGAGTGGAGTGGATGGTGGAGTGTTGTTACCCAAGACAGGAATTTCAGGAGGAAGAGCAGATTGGGAATGTGGGGCTGGGGTGGGTAATGAGATCAGCATGAGATTGAGTTTATTGTTTGTTCATGGACCATCCTAGAGGAGGTTGGGAACCTGAGTCCTGAGCTCAGGGCAGAAGGGGCACTGGAAGTGTGGATCTAGAGTGTGACATGTGGGTGACAGCTGCCCATCTGGGAAGTGTAGGTAGAGTCTAGAAAGGCAGATAGCAGGACAGTGGTGGGGCGGGTGGATGCCTCTAGACAGACCCCGAGGAGTGACAGCAAGAAGAAATGAGTGGAAGAAAGGGAGCTGGCACAGAACCTGAGGGGTGGCCAAGAGCCCAGAGTGGAAATGCTGCAAAGAAAAGTCAAAGGGGACAAGGACTTTCAGAGGCTGGAAGGAGGGCTGGGGCAACAGGTCTTTCATTTACAATAAAGTTGTAGCCACTTCCCTCCAGGGATGGGAATTCTGAGCTGGAACTTGTTATGGAAGATAAGCCAAGAGAATAAAAAGTCCAAAGAAGTCTGAACTTTTGGGCCATAGTAATGATTTTTCCTTCTTAATGGATCAGAGGGTACTAATAATTCTGACCTTTGTTTTCTGGCAAAATGGGCCCGGGGCCTGACTTTTTCCTGGAATACCTATGCGTATCTGCATTGAGGAGAATCCATTTGCTTAATGCTTCCTGAGGGAGATGCTTTTGGTGCCCTTCACCACCGCTCAGAGACCCCCCCTGTGGCTCCAGCTGCTGCTGAGCTGGGGAGTTTGAAATACCCAAACTATATTCCCTCCTCAAGCTTTCAAAGCACCCCACTCTACTTCCCTGGCTCAAGGCTCTGCCCAGCTGGGTTCAGCCTGGAAGTAAGGGTGTGAACTCACCTTCAGTTTCTGTGGGATGGAAGCAGTTTCTCCTCCTCTGTATGGCCCATTCCAGAAGCTCCTGGAAACTTTCCAAAGTTCCTTTGTCTGTAGCAGTGACCTTGATAACATCTCTTTAATTGGATTTTTCCTTTCTTTGTCTTACACTTCTCATTTCTTTACTTTTGCTTTCTTAGATCATCATCTTCCAAATAAAACTCAGGCCCCCAAGTCTGTCTAATTTCAATATAATCCTACTGAAGATGCCAACTGTCTTTCTGGTACTGTAGGGTGACAACAGTGAACAAAACACACAAAATCCTTGTGCTCATAGTGCTTCTCTTATAGTGGGAATACACTGATGTGGGATGGTCATGGATGAGTTCACAGGGAAGCAGGGACAGGGCATGTGGAGGGCTTGGCAGCCCCTTCACTTGAACATATGCCAACCTCTGGTTGAGGACCCTCTATTAGGCTCTTTGGTTTGTGGACTTGCTATGTACACTAAGGAGAAATGGCTTTTACTTCTCTGTCCTAGTAAAGAAGAGGGATGCTGCTCATACATTGCTGGTGGGACTGCAAATTCGTGCAACCACTATGGAAAGCAGTATGGAGATATTTCAGAAAACTGGGAATGGAACCACCATTTGACCCAGCTATCCC